TTTTTTCTTTTTGCTTATGTGGTGCTGAGGAATCGAACCCAGGGCCTCAGGCATGCAAGGCAAGCGCTCTACCACTGAGCCACCTTCCCAGCCCACAAAATTTTGAAATATATCTTCCAAAGTAAAAAATTTTTTAAGTTCATAATTTTTCAACTATCTTAACTTCCAACTTAATATGAGACAGCTAGAGTCTCATATTTGCTTTTTTTTGCAATAGTGTCTTGGGTAAAGTAAGTAATTGTATTAAGAAATCCACACAAAGTAGGAAAAGGGAAAATTTCAAAATGTTTCAGATCATTACATTACTCTAACAAATGATAGTTTCTTTTTCTTTTTCTGTCTGTACTAGCGCTTGAATTCAAGGCCTCCAGCTCTTGCTTGGCTCTTTCATTCAAGGCTGGCACTCTACCATTTGAGCCATACCTCCAATTCTGGCTTTTTGCTGTTTAATTGTAGATAAGTCTCTAGGATTTATCAGCCTCCTCTGATTTGAAACCAATATCCTCAGATCTCGATCTCAGCCTCCTGAGTAGCTGGGGTTATAGGTATAAGCTACTAGCACCTGGCTAAGGGCTGGTTTCTTAAGTTATTCCAAGGCTGACTAGGTCTTGCATGCTTGTTATCCTAACACTCAGGAAATTGATGCAGGAAGGTATCTAGATTATGACCAGCCTAGAGTTGGTTACATAGCAAGAGACACTGCTGTTTTTAGAAGAAAAACCAAAGTTTTTACACAGAAACTGTAACAGTGAACTTTTTGCATTGATACGTTAAATCCATAAATATATCTTAGATTTGAATGGATCTTTACCATTTCATAAAATATCATTCTCCAGTCATTTGTAAAATATCAGCAGTTATACAAATCTTTCAAATATACAATAAGCTCCTGGTCCCATTTCTTCTATTATCATGACTCATGTCTTCAAAAAAGTCCTTTTGGAGCAGGGTGCTAGTGGCTCACGCCCATAATCCTAGCTACTCAGGAAGCTGAGATCTGAGGATTGGGGTTCAAAGGCAGCCCAGACAGGAAAGTCCGTGAAACTCCAATAAACCACCAGAAAACCGGAAGTGTCACTGTGGCTCAAGTAGTAGAGTGCTTGCTTGAGCGGAAGAGCTCAGAAACAGTGCCTAGGTCCAGAGTTCAAGCCCCACAACCAACCAAAAAATAAAATAAGTCCTTTTGGGATGTGTGTGGGAGACAAGACCCCACTATGTAGCCAGGCTACATATCACTGGAATGCTGTTCCATTAACAAAGTTCAGACAGCTAACTAGATCCAGCCTTCATATGGATAATTTGTACTGCAGTTCCAGGCTAACGTGGCAGAGGGAGGGGTTTGGGTTGTGTGTGTGCTTCCCAAATTAGATGTATTCTCCTGGCCTAAGGAAGAGCATTTAAAAAAAACACAAGTTACAGTAAAGACAAAGGAACCACATTTTATCTTATTTAAGCAGTGGAGGGTAGATTTAAAAAAAAAAAGACAAGGGGAAAAGGGGAGGGGGGAGATGGAGGGGGGAGGGATCCGCAGTGAGATTTCAAAATGATAAGACTGTTGGATGAGTCGAGCTCTAACAAAAGGAAAGCAGAGCTGGCAAAGGGGCAGATTTTCTGAATTTAAGGCAGCTATGCTCCAATGAACTACTTATTTCCGAGACAGGATCCCACCGTCCTTAGCTAAGGCAAGTGATTGCATCAGTCAGCAGCTGGCGGTTGATGCTTACTACTAGCAGGTCACGGATCCCTGACTGCGAGCCCTGGTCTCACTGGACCCAGCGTTGTCTTAATTAATCCCTCTTCACCCCCCTCTCGATTCTAATTTCCGGGCCGCAGGAAGACATGGGGGAAAAAAATGGGAGGGCTGCGGCAAATCACGACACCTCGGTCCATGAAACTTCCCCTCCTTTGCGCACAAACTCCAAAACGCTCCCCGCTTGGAGCCGGCTCCCCGAGCCCAGCTTCCCAGGCCTGCGATCTCGTTCCGGACGCCAGCAGAAGACAGGAGCGAAGGATGGAGATTCGCTTCACCTTTGGGAAAGAGTTCTTCGCCTCCCGCACCCACATTTCAACTCCTATCTTCCGAGCTAGTCACGCGGATAAGCACTCAGGAAGGACCAGAAGGACGCGGGATGATTGCAAAGCATCCTGGGCGCCGGGGCGCATCTGCCGCAGCGGGCAGGCAGAGGCGGCGGGTGACCGGGGCGCGGGAGGGAACCGGGCGCGCCAGGACCCGCGAAGTGCCCGGGTGACCGGGTGCCGGGCCGGGGCTGGGTCGCGGGGAGGGCGGGCAAGGAGGCCGGGGTGACCGAGTGGGGCCGCAGCGAGGGCCCCGGAGCCGCGGGGCCGGAGGGCCGAGGTGACCTCGGAGCGCGGACCCCAGACCTGGATATCCTGCGGTCCCGGGGGTGGCCGGGGTCGGGGAGCGCGGGGGCCAGGCGCAGGGTCGGGGGCGACGGTACCTGCTGGCGCACGGCTAGCCTAAGAGGAGCCAGCACCTCCTCGGCGCTGGCGCCGTCCATGCTGCTCCGGGAGGCGAGGGCGGCGGCGGCGGGGAAGGAGGCCGGGGCGCGGGCGCTGAGGGATCGCCGGG